CTTTTAAAAGTTAAAACTGCAAGCGTAATACACACAAATAACATAACACTGTGTTGTATCTATATCCTAGGGGAGGGCATAATTATTAATTAATAGGCATTATAGACCAGAGGAAATTTTGCGCCCCTTCACACCTGTGCCCGGGAGCGACTGCCCCCCTCTTGCTATGCCACTGATTTCTAACTGTAATATACTTTGAAAATTTCAAGACCTGCTCTAGTGGCAGAAAGTTTGAAGGGTGTTTAAACTGGATGTTACAATAATACTCTGAATTCAGAATTGTAACTTGGGATAAAGAAATTTAAATTTCAATCCCCTATTTTTTGCAAAACATCATTATTATTAACGTTGAATAAAATATCTGAAAGTCAAGTGTACCAAATTGCTTCTAAATTAATTTAGTTAATTTATTCAAACCAAGTTGTTTAGCTGATGTACAACTTTTTCTCAATTCGTAACTTATTTAATTCCATCTTCATTTATTTTACAGTATTGCAATAAAGGTACGTACATTTCATTTTTGAGGCCAAAATTGTAGTATTTGTGACACTGGTTAATTTATTTTTTTGAATGAGAAGTTTGTTGAAACTGGAAATTATTTATTTGTGTGTATATTGATACATGTTATTTTTAAAAGAGAAATATATTTCATAATAAAAGGTATAATTTATATCATTAACGATTGAGATCGTAAAATATTCGGTATATCTTTTAGATGCTTTATTTGTTAGATCATCAAGATTAGATATTGTTACTTACCATACACTTTATTGTACCCTACATAGAATATAGGCCTGCAGGTTGGTGGTGGGTGATGTTGACTAGTTGCCTTCCCTCTAGTCTATCACTGCTAAATTATGGATGGCTAGCGCAGATAGCCCTCATGTAGTTTTGCAAGAAACTCAGAACAAACTAAACCAAACTTATGTTTTATGATAATTTCATATGAATAAACATAAAACGAAATAGCTGCTATTTTTTAATAACTTGTCTTGTGTTTGCTGCATGTGTTTCTCTGATATGAACAATGTGGTTCTGTATAAAAAATAATGCAAATAATGTTTATCATGCAATTTTTAACATAACATAATGTTTAGAGACAGCAAGGGACTTTTTGGTCCATCTTGGTTGTAACATCCTCTAAAATAAACTAAAATTATCAAAATAAATAAATAAAATAAAAATCTTAAACCCAGCCCTTATCATTCGTATAATTATCAAGCTTTCTCTTAAACCACGTAAACTTACTGCCTCCACAACATCCAAAGGCAACCCATTCCAGAGGCCAACCACCCTGTTAGAAAAATAAAACTGTCTTAGCTGAAGATGACTCCTACCTTGCCAAAATTTATATTTGTGTCCCCTAGTCCTATATTCTCGCCATTAGGTATGAAAAACGATGATTCATCAACATCATTAATTCTATTTACAATCTGAAATACCTCAATTAGATCCTCCCTAACTCTTATGTCTTTTCTCAAGATAAAACAATATCAGAGATCTTAATCTCTCCTCGTATGACAATCCCTCCATCCCAGGCACCATTCTGGTAATCCTCCTCTGAACCCTTTCCAACATTTGAATGTCCTTCCTAAGGTAAGAAGACTGAACACAATACTCCAAATGTGGCCTAGTCAATGAAATTATATCCTCTTTAGACTTGTATTCAATACTTCTGTAGATACAACATACAATCCTACCACTAACAACAGGACACTGCTTGGATGGTTTAATAGACTGACCAACCATTATAGCAAGATCCCTTTCTTTCATGTATTTATACAGGAAATATGATAATTTCTTTATATAAAAAACTGTTTGTGGAGAAATGTTTTTTCTCACTATTACTGTTTAAAGGTGAATAGCATATATATATATATATATATATATATTATCCTACTGCCAACTGCACTTCAGTACAACTAAAATGTATCACCTTTTTTTTTTCTGGTATGTCAAGTATCTAATTTGTATGTATATGTACAGAGATTGAATGCAGTATATCAAAATGATTTTTGAGCTTCACCACATTGTTACAGTTCATGTCACCATGTTCTGTATAACCTACTTTAATACACCATCTGAGTCATTATTGAGTCAAGAGTTAATTTGATGTACACACAAACATTCAGTTAAGGAAGAATGAAGGTTCGTGTAATGGTATCAACTTGGTCTTTTTATGTTTAAATAGTAACAAATAAAATAAAAACAGAATAAACTTAGAAAATAAAATATAAATCAAATAATACTTGGTCTTTTTATGTTTAAATAGTAACAAATAAAATAAAAACAGAATAAACTTAGAAAATAAAATATAAATCAAATAATACTTGGTCTTTTTATGTTTAAATAGTAACAAATAAAATAAAAACAGAATAAACTGAGAAAATATAAATCAAATAGTACTTGGTCTTTTTATGTTTAAATAGTAACAAATAAAATAAAAACAGAATAAACTGAGAAAATAAAATATAAATCAAATAATACTTATGGCCTGTCATATGTATCATGCAAGTGCTTCTTGCTGCGTATGGTTAAAACTTATCTAATGAATAACCAATAGTTTATAATGGAGTTATAAAATCTGACAAGAATATAGTTTTATTCATGATTAGAAATCATGCAAAACTTGTATGCATTTAAATATGAATGTGTTTATAAATCTCACAGCACAAATGGGGGTAATGTTCATGTAGAAACCTCATCTTGTGTTTTTTTACTTTCTTTACATTAATTAACTTTGGCTTGGCAGTAAGTGATTATTACTGGAGTGAGTCAGTTGTTGTTTTTTAGACTTTTAATGTTATTAATAAGCTTGATGGTACAGGGAAGGTGCTTAGAAAAGCGTAGACTTGTATTTTAAAAGTTGATTGCACATTTGTTCATTTAGATTTATTCAAGCTTTGGATAACAAGTTTCCTATGTAAAATACCACTTAAGAGAATTTTGTTGTTTTAACACTTCTAATTTAATACTTATTCAGGTCTGCTTAATTTGACCTGACTGTCATGTTAACTGTGAATTGTCGTTGTTTGTAATGATTTAGAAAAATTAAGAACTCCTACTTAAGACTAATATAAAAAAACATATCTTAATACACAAATAGTAATTATTTGGTTGTAATATTTTATTTCCCATATTAAAAAACTATATTCTATCAAACATAAAATTGACAAAGTTACATTAAACAGTTATAAGTTAATAAACACAAAATATTAACATGCTGCATACTGCTACTTTTATTTCTGAACAACTTAATATTATTAGCTTCTTTTATAAGGCTTGTACAAAGAATTCCAATGTTTATTTCCTCTTGTTGATAGACTCCGATTTAAACCTTTCCAAACTTTGTTGAAAATCAAGTTGTTTTATATTTCATATTTATGCTTATAAGGAACAAGGTACTTTCTAGTATTACATTCTAAACATGTGGTATAGTAGAGATAATATAAGCCTTTTTTTATCTTTCTTTAGGTTCCATTTGCTTTCTTTGTGTCTAGATTTCTCAGCAAGAGTAATGGAAACATGGCTGTATGGGTATCCATTATCATTGGTCAACCACTGTGTATCCTCATGTATTATCATGATTACTATGTTCTTCATTATGGTGGTTCTCTCTAACAAACAGCATCTTACTTAAATCAGAAATGCTGATTTTTTTCTTATTGGTCATTGTAAGCCTAAAGAACCAGCTCAAGAAGTTGCCTTATAAAATCTTGTTGTTGAGTCGCTACAAGTGTAACTAAAATATGATGCAATACTATTAATTTTTATGTTGTAATATAGAGATCACAAATATTATTTACCTTATATACCTGAATAAATTGTTATATATTTGAATATTTGTTGAAGTTACAAATGCATTCAAATATTTTTTTAATAAATCCTTAAGTTCAAAAAATATATTTGCATAAATCAAAAAAATATGGACATTAATTTTCAAAACTCATTGCAGTGAGTTTCCATCCATAAATTTACTGTCTACATTGTTCCTATTATTTGCCTTATGCATACTAAATATTCTATAGTTGCTATTCATTATACTGTAACTAATGTAAGTTGTTATATATTTGTTGAAATTATAAAATATATTCATATATCTTTTAATAAGTCCTTTGATTAATAAAAATCTATAAAAATGTGCACATTATGAGCTTTAAAAACTAAATTCTAGTTGTTTTCCATGCATAACTTAGTTGTCTGAATTGTTCCTGTTGTGTCTTACCTTATGAATACTAAATAGTTTATAGTTGCAATTTATTATGGTACAACTAGTAGGAAAAAAATTTTACTGCCAAACTTTGTCCTTTATAAATAGTTTCAAATACTGTCCCAAGTAAATAAAACTAGTAGGAAAAAAAGTTTTACTGTTGAACTTTGTCCATTATAAATAGTTTCAAATACTGTCCCAAGTCAATAAAACTAGTAGGAAAAAAGTTTTACTGCCAAACTTTGTCCATTATAAATAGTTTCAAATACTGTCCCAAGTAAATAACATTCAACAATTATATATTTTTTTCCCATCCATAGTGAAGAATTGTTTAACTGTTCAAAGCTTTGTTGAATACTTAACAAAAGAGTACTTATATTTGAACATCATGAAATTCATAATGCTTTTTATTCTGGTGAAATCAGCTTAGCTTTATTCTTAAATGAGAGAGTTAATATAATGTAATTTGAGTTTGGAAGCTAAACAAAAACAAAGTTGTCAAAAAAAAAAGCTTTGTCAGTCAATAAACAATAATTAATGTTTTAATTTTTTCTCTCAACATTATTATGAATATTACAGATAAAAATATTAAATCATAGTTTTATTATTGTGATTTCTGGAGACATTTTGAAATTGAAAAGTTCAATCAAAATACAAGTTTTACTTTAAAATATACAATTTGTCATGGCTTGTATTTTATATTTACGTGATATACATTCCATGGTCTAAGATGTGTAGTTTATTTACGTGATATACATTCCATGGTCTAAGATGTGTAGTTTATTTACGTGATGACTGGGAAATCCAGCACTGGGTGTTGAGTTAGTATCAAATAGTCAGTAAAATTTAACTTTCATTAACTTGATAATTATACTTTTCATATAAATTTAACTGGAACTGTGTTTGCAATTTTCTAGTCCATAAGTGAAAAAAAAAAATGTTAAAACTTTTCAGTAGTATTAGAGCTGAGAAAGTTTACATATATAATGATTTTTTTGTTCTCTATTGTTGTTTTATATTAAGTCAGCATGTAATATTGTAAGTAACTTTACATCTGTCACATTTGTGGTTTTGAATTGTCTGTAGAGTTAGATTAATAGCGGATTCAAACTGATCTAAATATATCAACTAATCCACGACTTTTATGAAGACCTTGACGATAAGTTTTGTCATCACATTCGTGTTAACTACTTGTGAGGTTCAGTATATTTTCAAATTCGATGCATGGTTTTTATAGAATTATTTTGAAACATATAATGATGAAGTATCTATGCAGTTGTGAAATACTCTTAAGATACAAAAGATAAATGTTATGCCAAAGAAATACAGTCCTTGCAAATTTCATTGAACCCTGATACTTCTGTATTGAGGACAATGATTGTATGTGATTGTTATGATACTTCTGTATTGAGGACAATGATTGTATGTGATTGTTATGATACTTCTGTATTGAGGACAATGATTGTATGTGATTGTTATGATACTTCTGTATTGAGGACAATGATTGTATGTGATTGTTATGATACTTCTGTATTGAGGACAATGATTGTATGTGATTGTTATGATACTTCTGTATTGAGGACAATGATTGTGTGTGATTGTTATGATACTTCTGTATTGAGGACAATGATTGTGTGTGATTGTTATGATACTTCTGTATTGAGGGCAATGATTGTATATGATTGTTAGTCTGTATATACAAAAAACAGTTGGAACTACAACTCATTATTTCCTCAATGTGATCAAAGTTGTGTCAATTACTTGTTTCTCTATGATACAGTAAATGTGTACTTTTTATATATTTAGTTGTTGTAGTTATGCATTTGAACAGTTATAAGTGTATATGATGATGATGTTGTAATCCTCTGTATTTGTTTGTAATTACAGTTAATATTCCTATACTTAATACAGCATGGAGTTGAGCAAACATTCCAGTGCAAATAGTTTGTTATTAGGAGTTACATTGTACATCACAGTAACACAAGAAAGTCATTCTGTACATCACAGTAACTCAAGAGAACCACACTGTACACCACAGTAACACAGTGAATTTATTCTGTACACCATAGTAACACAAGAAAATCACACTGTACATCACAGTAACTCAAGGAAGTCATTCTGTACCTAATGGTAAATCAAGAAAATCACTGTACATCACAGTAACTCAAGGAAGTCATTCTGTACCTAATGGTAAATCAAGAAAATCACTGTACATCACAGTAACACAAGGAAGTCATTCTGTACTTAATGGTAAATCAAGAAAATCACACTGTACATCACAGTAACACAAGGAAGTCATTCTGTACTTAATGGTAAATCAAGAAAATCACTGTACATCACAGTAACACAAGGAAGTCATTCTGTACTTAATGGTAAATCAAGAAAATCACATTGTACATCACAGTAACACAAGGAATTCATTCTGTACTTAATGGTAAATGAAGAAAATCACACTGTAAGCCACAGTAACACAGTGAATTTATTCTGTACACCACAGTAACACAGTGAATTTATTCTGTACATCACAGTAACACAAGGAAGTCATTCTGTACATCACAGTAACTCAAGAAAATCACACTATACACCACAGTAACACAAGAAAGTCATTCTGTACACCACAGTAACACAGTGAATTTATTCTGTACACCACAGTAACACAGTGAATTTATTCTGTACATCACAGTAACACAAGGAAGTCATTCTGTACATCACAGTAACTCAAGAAAATCACACTATATACCAAAGTAACACAAGAAAGTCATTCTGTACCTGACGGTAAATCAAGAAAATCACACTATACACCACAGTAACACAAGGAAGTCATTCTGTACATCACAGTAACTCAAGAAAATCACATTATACACCACAGTAACACAAGAAAGTCATTCTGTACACCACAGTAACACAGTGAATTTATTCTGTACACCACAGTAACACAGTAAATTTATTTTGTACATCACAGTAACACAAGGAAGTTATTCTATACCTAACGGTAAATCAAGAAAATCACAATATACACCACAGTAACACAAGGAAGTCATTCTGTACATCACAGTAACTCAAGAAAATCACACTATACACCACAGTAACACAAGAAAGTCATTCTGTACCTAACAGTAAATCAAGAAAATCACACTATACACCACAGTAACTCAGTGAATTTATTCTGTACATCACAGTAACACAAGGAAGTCATTCTGTACATCTCAGTAACTCAAGAAAATCACACTATACACCACAGTAACACAAGAAAGTCATTCTGTACACCACAGTAACACAAGAAAGTCATTCTGTACACCATAGTAACACAGTGAATTTATTCTGTACACCACAGTAACACAGTGAATTTATTCTGTAATCACAGTAACACAAGGAAGTCATTCTGTACATCACAGTAACTCAAGAAAATCACACTATATACCACAGTAACTCAAGAAAATCACACTATAAACCACAGTAACACAAGAAAGTCATTCTGTACCTAACAGTAAATCAAGAAAATCACACTATACGCCACAGTAACACAAGGAAGTCATTCTGTACATCACAGTAACTCAAGAAAATCACACTATACACCACAGTAACACAAGAAAGTCATTCTGTACATTACAGTAACTCAAGAGAATCACACTGTACACCACAGTAACACAGTGAATTTATTCTGTACATCACAGTAACTCAAGAAAATCACACTGTACACCACAGTAACACAAGAAAGTCATTCTGTACCTAACGGTAAATCAAGAAAATCACACTATACACCACAGTAACACAAGGAAGTCATTCTGTACATCACAGTAACTCAAGAAAATCACACTATACACCACAGTAACACAAGAAAGTCATTCTGTACACCACAGTAACACAGTGAATTTATTCTGTACACCACAGTAACACAGTGAATTTATTCTGTACACCAAAGTAACACAGTGAATTTATTCTGTACATCACAGTAACACAAGAGAATCACACTGTACACCACAGTAGCACAGTGAATTTATTCTGTACACCACAGTAACACAGTTATTCTGTACATTACAGTAACTCAAGAAAATCACACTGTACATCACAGTAACATAGTGAAGTTATATACATTCACAGCAATGCAAGAAAGTCACAGTGTACATCACAGTAACACAAGAAAGTTATTCTGTGCATCACAATAACACAAGAAAGTTATTATATACGTTCACAGTAATACAAGAAAGTCACACTGTACACTGTAGTAACAACAACTGTGTGTGTACAAGAATAATGAAAGCGATCATGAATTATAATGCTAATTATTTTGATCACTGATAAACGGTTGATGAAGAAATATTAATTTTTCTCAGTCAGAAACCATTTTATATTTCAACCATTTAGAAGTTGTATTTGTATGATAACTGTTTTGTTAATACATAAAATCATGATTGATAGAAACATCCTCAGCTATGGGCTGATAAATATATAATCATTTTATGTTTTTCATTTAAAGTTAAAAGTAATTTTCTTGAATTTCACTTTCGGTTGTGGGTATGTTTCAACTAGATGTAAACAAACAAGTATATAAATTGAAGGTATTACGATTATTTTTGATATATGCATGTCAGATAAGGAAAACTGGATTATCTTTGATGCAAGGAAACTGTTTATAACTGAATTGACACAATCAGCTCAAATGTGTATTCTTGTTATAGCAAAGAGTCCAATATTGTTTAATTTCTTTGAAGTGAAATAAAATATATACCTGCACTTTTAAAATTTACGCTTGTAAGTTTACTTCCAAAAACCCAATACACATATTTCTTGAACTGTTTCATATATACTTGTCAGCTAAGCATAGTTAGCATAGTTGGTTGCAGAAAAAAAAAACGCAGTAGCTTAAGAGTTTCGGGTGAGTGGCTTTTTTCTAGTCTGTCAGTTCAAAATTAGGGAAACTTTGCACCAATAGTCCTCTGTGTAGAGATTCTAAACAAGTGTGTTCATATATGACATCCAACAGATGTTTGTCTGAAGGCTTTGTAATGCTAAAAATCAGGTTTTGATACCCATGATGGATGACTGCACTAATAGCCCAATGTGTAGATTTGTGCCTAACTCCAAACAAACAAAATCCAACAGCAACGGTGAGCCCTATTTTATTTATGATAAACACAATTGTAATTGACATATGTAATTTGAAAAGAAAAGGGTATTGCTTAAATTGAGTATAAATCCAAAACTGATTTCTTAAATATTTACGTCTGCACGAGCTTAAACCACGTGAATCAATTCCGTGCATCTGTTGTATTGTTTGTTAAATTGCATTGCAAAAAAATAAATGAAAATACTTCATTGTGAACATTTTTTTTACGAAACAAATACTTTTTATGTCTATACATTCTTTTATGTTTTCTTATACAATTTTTATCTTACAGAATTGTATATTTTTCTTTGTTTTCATTTGCAAAACAACATTTGAAATGTCAATGTTGTAGTATACAATAAAAATAACTACCTCATTTAGTTGTACAGAACACAATGCCAATCAAAGTGGGGAGTGAAAATCGTTTTACGATCTTTCCAAACTTTACTTGTTTGTGTATTTTTTATTGCAGCATTTATTTTGGATACTTCTTATAGTAATTCTACAAATAACCAACGATCCCTACTTCTAGTTACCATTTTAATTTTTCCCCTATTTATATTAAAATACAACATGGTTTTGTTGGCACATATTTGAAAAAGTTTGCACAATTTGTCCTATTGTAGATAAGAGTTATTTGGTAAAAGAAACTCCCCCCCCCCCTTGTAGATAAAGAGTTATTTGGTAAAAGAAACTTGCCCCCCCCTCCCCTGGAAAATGAGGAACATAATTCTTTCTTTGTTCATTCAGGATATGTATCCGAATTTACAAGTTTCTTTATTCACTTCACAATTTTACACTACTTATTACACCTAATTTCAATTCTAATTAAAGTCGCCAGGTTTGTCAGCAGCTTTACTTAAGATCTCCAGATACCTACCCTGTAGCTAAATATTGAAAAACGTCACTACCTCTAGGATACTGGACATGATAATTCTCACTTAGGTCGTCAAAGAGACCGACGCGGTTTTGCCGACAACCCCTGAGCCCTTACACAGTGTGATCGTGATCGGAGTCAACCTGTTGCCACCAGTCAGCAGGCGATCAAAGAGACCGACGCGGTTTTGCCGACATCCTCTGAGCCCTTATACAGTGTGATCGTGATCGGAGTCAACCTGTTGCCACCAATCAGCAGGCTATCAAAGAGACCGACGCGGTTTTGCCGACATCCCCTGAGCCCTTACACAGTGTGATCGTGATCGGAGTCAACCTGTTGCCACCAGTCAGCAGGATATCAGAGACTGAAGCTGTCTTGCAGATATCCCATGAGACAGCGTGGTCGGGGGCAACCAAAATTTACCATTATGACGTATATATAGCTGCAAGTCTGCAGTATGGCTTAAACTCTAATCTTACAAATATTAAACCCATCAAATCAAATTGTGGGAGCTTGCTTATTCTCTTGGATGTAATAGCAAAACTTTGAAAACGGGTCCATCGTCCCTTGATTTTGCGTTTGCCCCCTCCTCCCTAAAATATTTTGTGGACGCCCATGCTAGAGGGAATGTAACAAGTTAACAACACCCACAAAGAGTGGGATTGATATTCACGTTATAATGACCCCATAGCTGAAAGAGCGAGCATATTTGATGATAGGATTCGAACCTGCAATCCTGGATTGCGAGTTGACTGCCCTAACCACCAGGTCACCATACCGAGGTGTTTGTTATGTAACTTCATATTCTAGTTTCTAACAAGATAAGGCGAGGTGGTTAGGGCGCTCGACTCGCAATATGAGGGTCGCGGGTTCGAATCCACGTTCCACCAAACATGCTCGCCCTTTCAGCTGTGGAGGCGTTATAATGTGACGGTCAATCCCACTATTCGTTGGTAAAAGAGTTGGCGGTGGGGTAGTGATGACTACCTGCCTTCCCTCTAGTCGTACACTGCTAAATTACGGACGGCTGGCGCAGATAGCCCTCGTGTAGCTTTGCGCGAAATTCAAAACAAACCAAACTAACAAGATAAAATGCTTCCCAGTGGCACAGCATGCGAACCTACAGTGCTAGAAACTAATCAGCTTTATTCATTGCTAAGATACTTTAGTATTAAACTATTATTGTACTTAACTTTTTGAACCAAACAAAGGTTTAACTATCACTAGACTGTTACTTACCAATAAGTGTAGATCCTTGGAAAACTTGATACACATCATTTTAATTCGTTTTATCTGAATTTAAAGAAAGTCTTTGCTATTTTTTGTCATAGAAACTTTAGTGTTGAATTGATCCGAAATAATATTGAATACTTTGACAAATGTATTTAAGATTAAATGTATTTTATCTTGTTAGTTAGTTTGTAGTTAAGCACAAAGCAACACAATGTTCTGTCTGTGCTCTGCCCACCACGGGTATTGAAATTCGGTTTCTAGTCGCATCGGAAGTAAGAAAACTTTATTCAATAGAAAAACATATTTAACTTTCATAGATTTTTTTTTTCAAATTTGGTCTAAATATAAGCCACGTGTGCAAATTATTAAACAAAAACCGCTCAATTTTGACCAAACTTCTTTCTCACACTTACGCAAAACGTCACATGAGCTATCGGTCTGAAATCTTTACTACAACTTCACCTAAGAGTAACGGTGGATCGTTGTTAGTTTTTTTGTCCTCTTTCCTTACGGGTCTTCCCATGGTCACGGGTCAAAGGCCATGTCATTGCGTTTGTTGACTCCCATTCAAAATTTTATTGAACCACTATTTTGTGAATGTGTGTAATAAGATTGGTATCAAATTGTTAATTATAATTCAAATTTTAGTATACACTGCTTAATTTATAAGTAAATATAAAAAAAACCACCAAGTATAGATTTTTGTGTGCCACGTGGGTATGTTGAATGCAGCATTGGTTCAAATTAGATGTTTGTGATGTCCAAATACAAAATCTATAGTTTTGTACGAATTAGGAGCTCAAATTACCGATATTGACAAGCTAGAATATAAAATAAGAACATCCTATCTTTTCTATTTGCTAAGATATTGTTACCTATATTTAATCAAACACAGTGCCCCCACCTCTGTCCATTTTTGGAAAGACATGCTTAGGTGCACCTACTTCTGTCTGTGACTTGTGAATAACCAATTGAAAGCTCAGAATGTCCCCCTACTGGGTTTCTCAGCGTCTTTGAAATATTTATGCCTTAAACTCTTTCTTTTTATGCTAGATTTCAAGCTGGTAAAGTAAGACTTTAGTGAGCTCGAAGTTTCATATTTTTAGACCCAAATACAGCTTAGTTACTAAGCTTGATAAATTATAGTGAAATTCTGTGGCATTGATATACTAATTTATGGTTATTTTAAAATGTGTATATAAATCCTAAAAAAAGTTATTTCGTTATTATCCCACTCAGACCGAAATGGTAGGGTTAAGGACGGCTGATTTAGAGCTGTAAAACTATAGGGTGAAAGCACATGCAGATACATAAGTATTGGTTAGGCCAAGCAAACTAGATTAGCAGTTTCTAGCTCATGTTTTCAAAAGAATCATACGGGTGGACGGTTATTATTAATTGTCAACTTTTAAGCACAAATTTCCCTAAATTCTCCTAATTAAAAGAGTATTTAGCGACACGTGATATTAGCTTAAGCAATTAACTTAAATTTAGGTGCTTAATACGGCTGTACTGAGTGCATGCGGGCGATGACAAGAAACTGTTAATCTAGTTTCCATTACATTACTATAAAGGAAGTTATTAACACTGTTTTAAAGAGGGAAAACTACGACCATCTATTCTAAAAACCTGGTTAGTTCTGTAAAGTATAGATCTATTCCGAATAATATGGTTGTGATTCTAAAGCTAATATTGGTTACTATCGAGTGTCACTTTCTTAATTGCTGTGGTTTGTTGGCGTGTATTGAACAAAAAGTCATGATATCTAATCTAAGGTATGAAAAAAGATGCGGCAAAAAAAATTGATCATGCAAGTTAAAGGAATGAAATCAAAACTGATAGCTACACTTATAGCGTTGATAAGAATTTTACACCAAATATTCATTCATTAGTTGGATATGCCGTGTATTTTGTTAACTTTTTTCACACCTAAGGTGCTTTTGATTAGATCATCACATAAAGTGGCAATTTGCAAGTTAAACTCCAAGAGACTTTTTGTACTCACTGATCAGGCTAGTCTTGATACGTTATATGTGTGATCTTCTGATAATCAGGAAGATGAACACACATGGCATATGTAGGTTTCCACAGCTTAGGTTATATTCTTGATATATTGGATTTGAGGTGTTCCGATAATCAGGAAGGTAAGCATACATGGGATATGTAGATCTCCATTGCTTAGGTTACAGTGTTGGTCAGTTGGATGTGAAGTGTTCTGTCAGGTTTTGCATAGGGCTAGATTCTTTACAGTAGGTGTCTGTGACTTGTTGGCGATAAATTTCAACAATAAACGGACAGCACACAATCCACTTGTTTTAAAATAATATATTCAAAACAAGTCAAACTTGTGTACAAAAATTCGTTACACTGTTGGTTATCATAATTGTATCCAGTGCTTTAAATAATAGTCTCCTTTTCATCAAAGTCCACATAGGCAGGTTCAACTACTTTAGAAAACTCTTTGACAAGACAAATTTTTTTTCACTATCTCTGTTATTAGAATACAAGGTGTAAAACTCACTTTAGAAATTGCCCATTATGGTGAATTTAGCCTAACTTTACTTTTACTAACTTGATGGTTTATACATATATATATATATATTACCCGACTGAGGCCTAGAACGTTTTACAAACTACGAGATTTTATAATAATACTCACATAAAGCAATGAAAAACTCAGAACGTTCTAGAAACGTGTTGTCAATTCACAACAAATGATTTGTAACTGTTACGTAAGCAAACCTGCGATAAATTATTGCTTCTAAAATTACTAAATTTAACACTAGCAGTTTATAACTATCTAAATCCTATCTTTCATATTGTTACGTATCTGCTTGTTTGTTAACTTCCGGTACAAATTCTTTCCAAAAAACTTCAGCAATACAAGTCCTTC